TAAAATAATCCTTCTTTATCTCATGCAGAGCAGCCTCTGTTTACGCCATCGTTTAATCACCAAACATTATATATTTTTATTTTACTTCTTATCAGAGAATAAAGGTGCTTCTTTCCATTACCAGACTAAATACAGCTAAGTATCGTAGAAATTCATTGATACTGTAAATATTAATAGAGATCAAATGCAGTTATACTTATAAAGACCTTGTTCTGCAGCGTGACACTAGCTCTACTTTAAACTGAGCGCTTTTCTCATCCTGTGTGTTAGTTCAGTGTTCTGCTCAAGGGCACGTCAGCGGGGTGAAGGTGGTCTGGATTTGAACCTGGCTGCGAGCTCTAACAGTAAATCTCTTACTTAAGACCTCGCACTAATTTTAGAGTGTTTGCGTTGTTTCGTCCCGAGCGACCAGCAGCAGCTTCTGTTTCTGCCGTAATCTGATTCCACAGCTTTCAGGAACTAGTCAGGCCCCTGTTTACACAACAGCACAGCTGCAGAAGCATATTTCATTCAAATCTGGCAGACGAGCGAGGCTCGCCCCACAGGTGAAGGGCAGAGTGCCTAAACAACCTGAGAAGTTGAAACTTTTGCGTCCTCTGGTTTAGAGGTCGGGACAGTCTGTCCTTTAATAACTGAGCTGCGTTTACAGGCGAACCTCTCAGCAATGTTTCCATGCGCTAAAAATACTTGAGCAGCAGCAGGGTCCTCCTGCAGGTTCTCCTCTCAGCTCATTACGCCCTGCGGGATCGGCCGGAGCAGATGCAGACCTCTCAGAGGCTTTCCTCCTTACACTTCACTTTGAGCATGCTCAGTTGGGCTTTTTAAAATCAGACGCCACAAAGTTGGAGTCCAGATCCTGGATCTGTGTGTGTCATCCACTGAGGTGCTGAGCTTTCCTTTGAGGTGATCCTCGGATTCACGCGGTGCTACAGGGTTCAGGTTTGTTTGTAACCTTGATGCACGAGGAGCTGGAGGATCTAGCAAAGTCTCCACACCTGTGGTACCACCGGACCTCCAACGCCCGCTCCTGTCCTCACCATGTAATCTGGAGGTGGAGCTCTTCCTTTGAGACGGCTCTGTTACGGACACTTTGCCGAACGTTCTCGTGAAGACTGAAGACAAGTTGTTTGTTCACACGTTCGTAGTTTGACCAACATCAGATTCCAGACTCGGTAGAAGTCGGGCAGCTTACGAACTCCCCGTCAGCGCCATCTGGATGATTCCAAACCAACATTCCTGAACAAGTGGATTTACTGTTCAAATAAAGTTTGGCGATGAGAGAGCCGATTCCCGTCCCAGCGAAGGAGCAGAGAGAGCGGCTCCCCAGCCTCCCTGCTCCTCCCTCCTCTTTCTCCTTCCCCATCATCTCGTACTCCATCCAGACATCAAAGAAGTTCCCGTTCTTCCACGTGGTCAGATGCTGCAGGTAAAACCATGTCCCTTGTTGGGAATGCCAGACAGGATTTAGCATGGGAAGCTAAAGCTGAACCCCGGTGTTTCGTCCCGGGATCGATGTCCTGTGTTTAGTGATGTGTGTTTTTGTTTCAGATACGAGGCGGAGAACGCCTTCTTCTCCAGTCTGAAACTCACTGACTTCAACATCATCGACACGCTGGGAGTCGGAGGCTTCGGACGCGTCGAACTGGTATGATCTGACACTTCAGGAAATTAGATTCATCTGTGCATCACTGAGAGTCGGAGGTAGTTTTATCTGAATGTGTGGATGCAGACTCACTGTGGAAGGCCTGCCACAACAAAAAGATGGTTTCTGTGATGTCACCTACACGTTTGTGTCAGCCTTTTCTTTGGAGCCATCAGTAAGTGGACGAGAGGGCGGAGCTCTAAGCTGTCAGATAATGCTTGCTCGTGTGCTTTGATCGTCTTCATACACTGCATCACAATGATGTCCCCAAAATCCTGAACTGGAGCTCCGCCTTCAATTGGTCTGTTAGTACGGTGACCTCACAGCAGCCATGTTATTGGCCACATGATGTCATTAAAAAGGCTCCAACAGCACAAACATAGTCCAGAGGTACCGCTCAGGTGAAGCTAGCAGCTACAGGCACCTGTGTCACAATCCACCTGTCAGTTAAAGAGGCCACGCCCCTAATAATGCAAACAGGCTAGCTATTCGCAGTATCTTACCAGTAAAATATCTGTGCTGGTAACTGGACACCAGTCCTCATGTGATTCAGGCTCTGCAGGTTCACAGAAACCTCAGAGTTTCTGTCCAGCGTCGCCATCGTCCTGCCGTCCTAATAAATCTGTCAGGTATCAAACATGTGACCCTGGCCTCAGGGCGCCTCACATCATAAATTCATCCACAGCTTTATCTGATTAAAACAGGTCATAGTGAGAAGGTTTGAGGTGATGGAAAAATGTAAGGGGGGGAGGGCGGGAGGCAGCGGGTGGTGCAATGCAGCTCAGGGAGTCGAGTTTCTCTGCCGCAGGAGGCGGGGCCTGAAGGTACTAAAGGTCGAAGGGGAAGCCCTGCGGAGGGTTTGCCCAAAAGCAGGAAGGAATCCCCATTCAGGGTCTCCCACCGTTCCCCTGGGGATATTTTTGGAGTGTAACTCTGCTCCAAGGAAAAAGCAGACCTCCGACCTCCCGACTGTCTCACCGCAAAGACTACGAATCATGTGACGCCTCAGAGCCATCAGCGTACCCACCAAACAGCTTCAGGTTTTATCACAACCTGCGTGGTTTCTAGGCTGAGTGCGAGTTCTCGTAAATCAGAACAGAAAAGTTGTTTGTGTTCGATTTCACTTTATTCTCGTGGACCTGATCAGGAACATGGATCCACGGTGACTGACCTCATCCCACAGTCTGTCTCCAGACGGCCTGAAACCAGCCAAGCACTGCACAGATGCATTAGAGAGGAAAACGAACCCCAGTTTACTAACGTTCAGTTTACCGTTGTCTTCACTGTGACTCTGACTCTGTTCAGTCCTTCAGAACTAATCAGATCAGTTGTTCCTGAGGTTGTTAGAAGACTTTAGTTTACAGGTTGGACAACATGTCCGAGTTTCCAACAGTCTCACAACGAGTGACTGCAGCACCGACCGAGCAGACCATCAGAAATACGGCAGCTAATGGCAACGAGCGGGACATAACCATCAGCAGTGCAGAGCGGCTGAAAGCTGTTAAAGTCACGAACGACCGACTGACCCTGGAAGCAGCTCAACTAAACAGTCCTTTATCAGAAGTGGAAGTTTTCCCGTGTTTGTCTGAGTGAAAAAGCTTCCAGCTGCTGCTGTTTCTCCGTCAGCACCGATGGTGTCGGTTACCGAGGAGGGGGTGACCTCTCAGACATGTCGGAGTAAGAAGTCAGGACCGTAATTTGAGGAATCGGTCCAGGAATAGAGGATTGTGTCATCGCCTATGAACAGCACACAGCGAGGTGTTTACAGCGAGAGCATGGCGGTCGGCTTACGGCACAGATTCCCCACAGAGACGCCACGCAGCTGCTCCGCTGTTTACTGACATGTAACGAAGAGCTGATGTACCAGCAGAGGGACAGACCCCCGACAGAGCTGCGGGGAAAGTATCGGACCTCTGCTCATCTTTGTATTTGCATACTTGTAACACTGACTCTGTCCATCGAACACGTTTTAATATTAGACTAGACTCAGCACAGAGTACAGGATTTAAATGATGATTTAAATAAAGCTTATTCGTACCTACCTGACCATTCTGAAAGTGACTGCCCTCCTCGTTAAATCTGCCCTCTGTGCCCTCTAACTGTGACCTTTTTTGGAAAGCCGACTCAAGAAATCACTTAAATAGAAGCCTGCAGGCGTCACTGGGCTCAGTTAAGGTCAGAGGTCTTCCTCATGTGATGTTTGTGTAATGTCTGTATGGTCAGAAGGGTAAGATGGCGCTGGCAGAGGTCGGCAGCCTTAACAACAAATTTCCCACACGTGGGACTAATAAAGGTATAACGGTATCCTAAGGTCATCACACAGAGTCGTCTCACATCTGCCACCAAACATCTGGATGGTTCCCGAGACTTCTGGGAAATATTCTGTGGACTGACGAGACAGAAGCTGAACGTTCTGGAAGATCTGAGTCCCGTCACATCAGACTAACAGTGCTTCATAAAGAGAGCATCGCAGCGGCAGGCAGACTCCGTGGTGGTCGTGTGATGGTCTGGCTGCTCTGCTCCAGGACGGCTCGCCCTAACCGACCAGAAAACCCTGAAGGAGGATGTCTGCCCATCAGTTTGTTTTGTGATGTTCAAGAGCACTTGGTTCTGCAGCAGGACACTGATCCGAGTCAAAGTCCGGACTTAAATCAGACGAGATGTTTTGGCGTGAAACCCCTCCAAAATGTCTGGATTCAACAAGAGGGGCCAAAGTTCCCCACAGTGATGAGAAAGACTCACACATCACAAACACTTGATTGCAGTTCTTGCTGCCGATCATGGCACAACCAGTTATTACCAGTATAAACATCCATGTGCTTCGGTAACTTTTTCCCTGAATAAATGAAAAGATCTTTTAAACACTGTTTGTTGTATTTGCTCTGTTGTCTTTGTCTGATATTGAATTTTGTGATGATCTAAAACATGAAATGAGATGTGAGAGCACAAGACTGTGGACCAGTAAGTTTTTCAAAATAAAACAAAAACAAGAGTAGCATGCTTTTTTAGCTTGGAGATATTATGAAAGTGGCGCGATACACAGCGACTGAATCGCAGTTGTTCTAACTTTAGCCACATTTTGTTAAACTTTAGCCCAGAGGGTACGTCACCATCTCTGGAAGTGTTGGACCTCCTCTAGAAAATAAAGCTTCCTGGGTTTGACTGATGCAGGTGTATCTAGCTGCGTCGCTAGCTCTTTACGCCCTGTGCTTTTAGATGTTTTTACCAGATCAGGCTGTGCGTGCATTTAAAGGAAGGACCCGTTGTGTTTGTTCAGGTGCAGCTGAAGAGCGAAGAGGCAAAGACGTTCGCCATGAAGATCCTGAAGAAGCGTCACATCGTGGACACGAGGCAGCAG